TTCTTCTGTTTCACACACAATTTTTCTCTCCAAATGTTTTTTGTAAATATGTGCTTCAAATATAGAATTTAAAAATAATAGTTTTAATGTTACAATTGTAATAGAAAATATAGTTTTCCTCATTTCCTGAAACTTTTCCAATGATAATTAGGGTTCCCTTTGCAAATGAAGGACTTAAATGATCTTAATTTTAAAAAGTGAGAAACACAACTTAATTCAGTATCCATATTTATATTGTTAACAATACGCATTATTATTTATGACTTCATATTGTTATGTATAAATATTTACTATGAGAAGATGGTCGAGGGCTGTAGTCAAAATATAATATTTTCTAGCTTTTTGAACTGAAGCCCTCCCCAAAATATAATATAAAATATAAGCATGTTTTATAAAAAAAAAGTATTATTGTTTGTCTGATTACTTTTAATTGGACCTCAAGAATCAATTAAACACTATTTCATATAGGTAGTTAGTTTCTTTCCTTTTTTCCAAAGTAATTATTATAATGAATACTTAATAGTTGACCATTCTATTATAGAGGAAGGAGATGGTCCGGGGTGGTGGTCATAAATAGATTAAAATAGTGGCAAAACTATTTTATTAAAAGTCAACGTTTCGACCCGACTTAGCAGGTCTTCATGGCTAGAATGGACAAGACACAAAAGGATATAGATCCTTTATAATATCCTTTTGTATGTTGCCTGTTCTAGCCCTGAAGAAGACCTGCAAAGTCGGGTCAAAACGTTGGCTTTTAATAAAATAGTTTTGCCACTATTTTAGTCTATTTATGACCACCACCCCGGACCATCTTCTTCCTCTAATTATCATATGTATTAACAAAAAAATCTTTAAGGCTGAAGTCTCCTCCAAAATTAAATCCTGGATCTGTAAGTGTACAACATTAAGAATTTACCCATGAAAAGTAATGTTTTTATTTCCACTTGCCTATATATGAAATATATATACATAATAAAGGAAAATTTTTCGTCAAAATTGGCTAACCAGAAATGACACTTTATATAATGGACTAAACACATTTTTACGATTTTCTCAAAAACGGCTGTAACAATTTTGATCAAATTAATTATAACAGTATAAAATTAAGCATTTTTAAATAAAATGTAGTTTTTATTCTGATCGATGTTCTCTAACAGGGCTTAAATGGTTTATTTTCCAAATTAAATTCCCCTAAAATACCTTTAATTTCTTTTATTTGAAACAATTGACCATTTCACATTAATCTCTAATATAAAAGACAGTTAAATATAAAACATGAAAGCATTTGATAATTAACTAAAGGAGAAATAAGAGATTGTAACGGAGAATAGTTGTAATTAAGGAACCAAAGGAATACGAAAGATTAGAACACACTTCCATATGTAACATGAACTTAATATAATAAGGACTACGACAATATTATGTAAATATACATATGTAGTTTTCATAAATGCTATTGTTGGTATTGTTTAATATTTAATTATTTAGATTACCATGTTATAAATATTAAAATTTGTATATATAAGGGTACTTATACAATTAAAAATAACCACAATGAAATATAAATAAATATAGTGCCTATGATTTTTACTTTCACTTCCCCTTTGTCTGAAGATACTTATTTTTGGTAAGAAGAGGGTGATAAGTGAAAGTTGTGTTATGCGCACACCGCACCAGATTTTTCTCATTAAGAGTTGTAAGCAATGGAAGCACAAGAAAGGACCATGATTTGAACCATAAACCTCAGGCTTACCTTGCTTGTAGCTCAATAACTAGTCGTGGCCCTTTAAGATCAGTTCACAAATATCTTCAACCCAACAATGTACTTTTTAACATTTAGGATACAAGGACATTGATGAATCGGGCAAGATTCATGGATTGTAGCTATTAAATCATCTAGCCAACAAGGACATATTGTAATGTCAACATTACATGGCATTTAAATAGTGGCGCGAAAGTGATAAAAACACGAACTACAGGAAGCAAGCCTCCTGTAACTCAGAAGGTGACGGGCCGCCAGGAGAGAAGGTGATAGCGGCCAAGAGAGGAGATTATGAGCCGCCAAGAGAAAATGTGACAAGCTGTCAAGAGAGAAGGTACTAGCCAGCAAGCTGAGAAAATAGAAAGAGCCACAAAGTTTAGACTGGGACAATCAAGGTTTTTGAATGTATAATTTCTCAATGTATGTATCTCGTTTCTTTATATGTATTTAGTAATTAGTGAATTATAGTTATTAAATGTTGAATGAGTGTTCAGTTGTCAGAACCCAACCTGAGAATTGATGTTATGTGTTAAAATAAATAGTATATTCAAAAAGTAAACTCGTTTGTTTGATTTATGTTGACAAAGAGAACGTTACAATATATATCGCTACTGTTAGTGCAAAAAGTCGTATGTAAAAATTACACATATTTATTCTCTTTGCGCTAAAGGTTTCATTTTGTAGTCTGCAAAATAAGAAAATAGCAGAAGGAAATAAAATATGAAATTATACAAATAAATCATAAAGAAATGATCGGTTTTTAATGCTCTTCTATAAAAAACTCAATTTTTACAAACGACCCTTTGCACTAACAGTAGTGATATCTCTTTTTTCTTTCAAACAGACTGTCCACAAGCCAAATCTCCATGATATAAACTAAAAGGAAACTTTGAACATTCCTGGTTAAGATATATTGGATACTGAATAGAGTCATTACTTCAAATGATGTGTACTTAGCAATAAAAGTACAAAAAAATGTCATTTTCATGAACTTAATGTTTTTGCATCGATCAATAAAGTAAAAATTCATAAAAGCATAATTAAAAGTTAACCTATATCAAAAATGCACTTAGTGATTTTTGTAATAGATCGACGATAAGCACAACTTAAGTGGTTTTATTAGTTAAATAAATAATATATTGTATCGATCAGTTTCATAAAATTCTTCACAAACTTAATTTTGATGAATATTCTTCATTTAAAGATCTACTCAGTTATTCACATAAGGCTGGACAAATCCAATTCCAGGACTAATTGGTAAAATTCTTTATAATGAATTATTGAAGGAAGTTAGTCAACTGTTCTACATATCATGGGAGATAAATATTCAGGAGGCAGTCATTAGAAAGTTTTTATTGGTGCCGACGTTTCAACAGGAACATGTGGGTTCCGAGCACTGAAGGTATTCAAGTACTGTCAAGGAATACTTAAGCCCAAAAGGGTCAACCCTCAGGAAGTTCTTCCCCACCGACCAGGCAAGATTAAATGCGACATGAGTCCTCCCTGATTACTGGATCTCATAGGACATGGAGGATTCTGGAATAAAATGGCAGACAATGGAAAGAATATTGAACCCCGGTGCCCTTCCTGCAGAGTCCCTGACACAGCAAAACACATTATTGGTGTCCTGTGTCGCGACAGGGATACCGTGCAAAATTGATGAGAGGGATAGGATATACCTTCACATAGGAGGATTTCCTCCGCCTGAGTGAAAAGGATGTGACAGGCCCAGCTCATTTCTCCCTGAGAGCGGCAAGAATTCCACCACCTGAAGAGGTGGGAGAAGAGGAAGGACCGGGCGGTACCACAGTTAATCCAGTGTTTCTATTGTTCCTCAAATTATATTATCCAAAATTATTTTAAAAAAAAATAAATAAAAAAGATCAAATGAGGAAAAAAAAAATCATGGAATACTTGAATACCTTCAGTGCTCGAAACACGTCCTGATGATGACACATGTTTGGGTTGAAACGTTGGCACCAAAAAAAACTGTATGACTGGATCCTGAATATTTATAATTCAAAATTCTTTGTAGGTTCCAGAATCAAACCAGAGTTTGTGTATATTACTAATATCAAATAAAATAACTAACAAAATCTGCTTTCAGGTCTTAATTTAAAAAATATGTCAAATATAACGAACTTGGAAAAAGAAACAGAAGCCAGAGTAAAGAGGATAGAGCAACAAATACAACACGACAAAGAAGAACATGATGTGAAAATGAAGATTCTACAGACAGAATTGCGTTTACTGACAATGAAGTTTAGAAAGACAAAATCAATAATGAAAAAGGACAATGCCAATAATAATAATAATATGATCCCCCAGAAAGAAAAGATCAGACCGATTATTCAAAAATCGTGATGCATTAATATTTATCATACAAAAATAAATGCATAATTTTTATTGAGAATTTAAACATATATCACTTCTATAGTTATAGATAAAATAATGAGAGTACAGAGAATAGAAATAATTTTGTGACACCTAATACTGATTCTAAGCGAGGCATTCAGTTTTAATACTAAGTCTAACTAAGCAAGAAATGATTTTTTTATTTTTATTTGTCTTATATAATACAGATTTAGAAGAGGGGTATATAACCAGGCTTGGACTATTTATATGATTACTTTTTGATAATACCTTTGGAAAGTTAAGATACAAATCAACTTTAGAGTATTTCAGCCTCAAGAGCTGTACTCGTTAAAGCATACTGCTCTAAGAGTCCGCCAGACACATGTGGCACATTCTTAAGATATCTTGCTTGATTCTTCTGAAGTGCTCATCTAGCTTTAGACACATCAGAAGTTCAAAATTTATAAATCAATATACTTTTATCACACTATGTTTCTAAAGGCATGATGTATCTTATTTATTTTCCATCTACTGTACACTCCATCGTCCTATAGTGAACCAAAGAGTTTTCTCAGGAGGAAATAAATATTTTGAAGGTATAGACCACTTTAATTGAATAGATTAAAGCTCAAATTTTTAGTGTAGAAAATTTCTTAAATACTAAACACAGGATTAATCTATAAATAAGTCAGAGATAAGAACAATGAAAAATGTAGCATCTATATTTTTATAACAGGAAATATCAGGTATTTTATAAGTAACAACATAGTTCAATAACAGTAAAAGAAAATATTTATTTATAGAATAATATACAAATATATATACACTATATTTACAATATAAATATATATAACTGTAATTTATAAATATAACTAAAATCAGATTACTTCTTTTTCCTTTTTAATTTCTTGAACTCACTTTCCTGTTGAGCACCCCAAGAATAAATTTCTTGAACCTTTCTCTTTCGCTCAGCATCACTGTTAATACAATGTAAATAGATTAATTTAAATAAACAAATAATATTACGTATAAAAATAATATAAAGAATTTTAATTGATCATATATATTGTAATGTAAATATTACATAGTGGTTTTGAATAGTGGCACGAAGGTAATGACGTCACGAACTACTGTCAAAAATGGACAAAGAATAACGGATGGTGGGGTGAGAAGAGCCACATAGGGGCAGAAGTTAGCCAGCCGGCTAGTAAAGAGGACCGAGAGAAGAAAATGTGTCTTAACAAGTAGTGAGTGTCAACAAAGAAAGAATTAAAGATTGTAGAAGTTGAACACAACAATACAGAAGAAGATACCCTGCAGAACAGGGTGAGTGAAATATAAACAGGCAGTTCAAAAGCACACCAAGATTAGACCCCGACAAATGAATGGAAATTCATAAATAAGTTATACAAAATTAATGTATGCCTTTGTATTATATATTTGAGGAATGTGTGTAAGTTGTCTAAACCCAAAATGGGAATTAATTATTGTGTAAAATAAATATTATTTGATTAAAAAACTGTTTGTTTACTTTTTGAAGGGAACGTAACCTTACATGGCGCCCAACGTGGGGCTTTGAAAATAAACGTAACCTAACAATAGATATATATATATATATATATATAAGTAAAGACAGGATGGCCAAGCAAGTTGGGAAGTGGGTCCCAGAGTGTCCAGTTCTGAAGGTTGTGCTTGTCACACAGCGGATAGGGCGTCCATAGAAGAAAGAATAGCCAAACTGGAAAGAACTTCGCCACTAGAAACATCTATAGCAAGAAAAATTTGTCCTCTAATGCAAAAATAAAGCACTACAGAACATTATTAATACCGGTGATACTGTATGGTATGGAAACTGAGGATTCACGGACTCAAAATAACGCAAAAGGGGTAAAGGCGAAAACCCAATGAAGAAATATACAGGAATTTGGAAGATCTGGAAACAGTCATCAGAACCAGGAGACTGAGGTTCTATGGGCATATGGTCAGAATGAACGATGAGAGATTAAACAAGAAAACTTTTGACAAAGTCTGCAATTATAAAAGTATGGGAGGATATGTAAAACAAATAAAAGAGGAACTGGGTAGGCTAAAATTCACGGATAAGGACTGCTTGGATAGAGAAATTTTTGGGTGGAAGAAGAGACAAGGGTGAAAATGGACTAAGGAAGAGTGAGGGGAACAGTCCAGGAGGATGAAAGAGTCTTGGAGTGGAAGAAAGGCAGAAGGTGTGAAGAATAAAAAAGGATATTTGCGTGGTCCTTGCTGGCCCAGTTCATGTAAAAAAAAAAAAAAATAACGAATGGAAAGTTTTTACCAACTTTTTCATAAAATTATTATTTTTTTTTTATATTTGAAGATCATAAACTAAAATCTATAATAGAGTGATTTAAAACAATAAGTTTAAAAAATAATTGAAAGACATACCTGGCAGCCTGTTCCTTGAACTTGACATTAGCAATGAAGGACCTGTCTCTTCTAATTTCTCTTAACGCACCTTTCATCTCCTTCTTGTACTTATACAACAGTTTTGTATGTTCTGCTTTTTCACCGACTAATTTCTTCTTTTGGTATTCATACCTATCCACATATGCAAGACCAAACATTTAGTTTTAATCTTTAATAATAATAATAATAAAACAAATAAGAAGTGTTAAATATATAATAACACATTTAGAAATAAAAAGAAGAGAAACTTACACTGGCTGAATTGATGGTTCATATAACCGAAGAGCTTTTGGTTTTTTGGCTTCTAGCATCAATGGAACCATTTCTTTATTGTTTATTCTTACCAGAATTTCTATCAATTGATAATATGCTTCTCTTACAGAAGATGGGTAATTTTTTATCTGTAACATTAATATTTTTTATCATAATATAATTATTATTTCCTAATATCCTCCACAAAACATTAAAATAAATAAATATAAATATTTGAAAAAAAGATATATAGCTTTTTTATTTATTTATTAGAATTTGTATTTCTTTGTAAATGTAAAAAAAATAAAATTTGTTTCATTCATTCAGTCTTTTTGGATTAACAAATCCATATCTACTAATTTGTCTACTTCAAGCCTCGTGAATCTATTCGGGATGAATACCAGACAGTTAAAGTAAAATTTCCTGACTTTTCCCTATTTAATGATAGTTTTCTCTGACCAATATGTCTGGTCAATATTAAAAATGTATGATTTATAACGTAAGTTTATTCAATATACATGAAAGAAAATTGATTTGAGTAAAAGCAAAAAATCAGTCTTTAAAATAACAAAAATAATTTCTTCATAACTCCTAAGGGTTCTAAACTTTTTATCTGAAGTATATAACTAAGATTTAATAACAGCATTTACTCCCAACAATTTTTCTTTATTTTTGACATTTTGGGATCCTCTTTCTTATCCCATCTTCTGACTAGAAATTAGAATATTTTTGTTATTTATATTTTATACTATTATTATAACTTTTAACAATAATAACAGAAATTGCCAATTTTCCCAGTATCTCATCCTAATATTATCTCATTTTTTTAATAAGATTTGTCATAATTTTTATATTTTCATAATTTATCCCTAAAATGCAATAATTTTAGGTTTTTATTTGTAATATTATTATTATTTTTATTTTTTGAAGGTTAATGAAAATTTACTTCCATTTTTCTTTAGTCTTTTTTAATCAAATCTATTACATCTGATGTTTCGGGACAATCTTCCCATCCTCAGAGAATTCCTTATGTTTACTTGATTTTGTGATGTGGCACCAGTTGCCAAAAATTATAATAATTGTCATATCTATTTAAATATAATGAGAGGAGGTAGCCATATGTTGGTTGGTGTGATAGTGAACAAAAAATGAATGTGTAACACCAAAAAAGCATTATATTTAAATAGATATGACAATTATTATCACAAAATCAAGTAAACATAAGGAATTCTCTGAGGATGGGAAAATTTTCCCGAAACGTCAGATGTAATTAATAAAGACTAAAGAAAAATGGAAGTATCTTTGCCTTAACCTTAGAAAAATATATAAACAGAAGCTTTCTAAAAAAAAGAAAAATAAGATACTATTTTTATGTATGTAGAAAGTTTCTATAATGTAATTTTTATGTATATAACAAGTTCCTATAATGTAAGTTTCTTAAGGTTATTCTCCCGAGAGTTCGCCGTACACCAGACAGCCATAGTCGAAGTGGGGCAACACAAGAGAGGAAACCAAGAGTTGATGGGATTTATATGGAAGGAGATAGCGGAGGCCGTTAAACTGTTTCAGAGTAGAAATAGTATGACCGGAAATTTGGGAGATGTGTGGTTTCCAGAAGAGGGTTTCATCAAACGTAACACCAAGGTTCTTTATGGAAGTATGGAATGAGATACGTAAGTTGTTCAGGAAAAGATTGGGGAGTACGGGTAAGGATTTGAGGAGTGAAGATCTGATCAGGATGGCTTTTGTCTTCTTGGTGTTTAGAGTAATCCTGAAGTGGTTTGCCCAGGCACAAATTCCATTTATATCTTCCTGTAATTTTTTTGATGGATTAATGTATATTCGCCTAATGGAATAGATATTCCGATTAGAGGTTCAAGATTACCAGAGCCATTTAAGCTTAAGCTAGATTAACTCTTCTAAACAAAACCTTTCAACTGTAACTATTAGATTAATTTTAAAATTGATTTACTTACTTCAAAGAAATCCAAATGGTTCATAATTGGTTTGAACAAGAGTTTACTTTCAGCTATTTCTTCATAACTTTCAGCTAATAAATGTAACAATTTCAAAGCGCAATAAATACTTCTGACCCTAAATTCATCATCAATTTTTGGTCCCTTCAGCATGAAATCAGATGCAGACATAGTCAAATCCACCTTACTAAATAAAAAATTAAACAAATTTTTCATTCAACTATACATAATAATAAAAAAATCAATAAATCTGTAATCTAATATATATAAATAAATTAGATATATATATATATTTATTAAGTAATTTACTAACAGGCCTGCTGCAGATTTTTGGAGAAACAGAAATTTGTGTTCTTTTTTGAAAGGAGAGAGAACCGGAAGATCAGACAACGGTGAAGCCATACAAATCACACCTGATAAGAAGTTAAGTGCTTCTGGCATAACTCTTTTGGACAGCCAAATATACTGCAAAAAAAAAAAAAATTAAGTATATTGAATATTTAATAGTTGACCGTTGCATTATAAAGGAAGGAGATGGTCCGGGGTGGCGGTCATAAATAGGCTAAATAGTGGTAAAACTATTTTATTAAAATCCAACGTTTTGACCCGACTTTGCAGGTCTTCTTCAGAGCTAGAACGGACAACATACAAAAGGATATTGTAAAGGATCTATATCCTTTTGTGTCTTGTCGAAACGTTGGCTTTCATTAAAATAGTTTTGCCACTATTTTAATCTATTTATGACCACCGCCCCTGGACCATCTCCTTCCTTAAGTATTCATTATGATAATTACTTTGGAAGAAAAAGAAAGAAACTAACTACCTATATGAAATGGTGTTTAATTGATTCTTGAGGTCTAATTAAAAGTAATCAGACGAACAATAATACTTTTTTTTTTAAACATGCTTATATTTTATATTATATTTTGGGGAGGGCTTCAGCTCAAAAGGCTATAAAATATTATATTTTGACTGCACCCCCCGACCAACTTCTCATAGTAAATATTTATACATAAAAATATGAAGTCATAATGAATGGTTCTGCAGGTCTTCTTCAGGGAGGTGTGCTCAGCTAGGGGTTTCACTTAGAACTGAGTGAAACTCCTAGTTGAGTAAATTAAGTATACTTCATAAATTTAAAAAGAAAAACAAAAACTAAATAAAACACTTATAATTTGACTAAAAATCCAAAAATATTTTTTTCAATTACTAAAGAGGTACAAAGATTTTAATGTCATTACACCAATGCCCACAAAATAGAAAATTGTGTTGTCTGTGCTGTCTATGTTAATAAAAACCAAGACCAACTCCTATTTCACTTACCAGGAGAAAGTTCCATATTCACTGGAGAAACAACTGCAATCATGAAGGCCCTCAATTGGGTATCAAACTCCAATGAGAAAAAATGGATGATAGCGACATAATCCAAAAGCATCCAACTTTAGGAGAAGCTAATATTGAAAATTAGCCATTTAAGCTCTGTTAGAGAACATCAATAAGAATAAAAGCTACATTTTATTGAAAACTGCTTAATTTTACACTGATATGATGAATTTGATCAAAATCGTTAGCCTTTTTCGAAAAAATCGTAAAAATGTGTTTAGTCCATGATATAAAGTGCCACTTCCGGTAAGCCAATTTTGACGAAAAAGTTGCTGTAACATGCCAAGTATATAACCTTTAATATACAATTTCACTTTCTTAAGACATTTTGTTTTTGAGACTGTTCTGATACAACCACACACGGATACCATTAGCCCGTATCCGTATCCTTGATTGCCCGATCCACTACCTTTTTTTTTTTTTTTTTTTTTTTTTTTTTTTTTTTTTTTTTTTTTTTTTTTTTTTTGTTGTTCTTCCCTACCTCGCCTTTTAGGCTATACGGGATTTTCCCGGGCCGGGGGGTGAGGGCGGGGAAATTTAAAATCCCCTCCGGCACCGGGACGCGAACTCGTACTTTTTATTTCATCTCAAACTGTTATCCGGTTGCCAGGCAACTAGCGGTGCTGTTACACACGCTTTAGCCTATTCGGCCACCCCGCCCCCGATCCACTACCTTCTGGAATTCCTTGCCGTCTGATATCCGCCATGCCTCTTCCTTGTCCTCATTTAAATATCATCTCTACCAATTCCTTCTTACATCCCAAAATGACGTTATACAACATGACGTTATACATGAAAGAAATATTGCGAAACAGATTTTGACTGAGGTGAATCATTATTAAAATTGATTGAGTTTTAATTTTAAAAATCAGCCCATGCTTATATTTTTTTGTTTTGTTTTTCTATTTAAATAATGTTTTTTTTTTCAAAATGGTGTTATTATTACTTCTTTTAATATACTTTTACTGAGATACTGTATATTTTCTTTAATATTGATTATTGTAATTTATGGCCAGATGTGGTTTTTATTTTTTTGTTCATAACTGTTATTCATAAGGGACCCCATCCCAGAATAAAGATTACTTTCTTTCTATCTATCTATATGATATCACACGCACACACACCATTTTGCGGGACTTGGTTATTTCAACTCAGGGGTCTCAAAACATGTATTTCTATTGACAACTCAGATTCCAAAATTTTCATGATTGCAATACTTTTGCGTACTATATATTTCATATATAAGTAAGTGAAAGTAAAAAAAAAAAATCGATGATATAAAGTGACACTTCCAGTAAGCCGATTTTAAGCAAAAAGTTGCTATAACATCCCAGCCGCATATACCTACCTTAAATATGTAATTTCACTTTCATATGGCTTTTAGTTTTTGAGCTAGACTGTTCACATAAACACACGGCTACCATTCTATATGACATCTTATTTGGACTCCTCAGGGGACCTCGAACTGTGTATTTCCATTGAAAATTAACAAATTAATATAGTGATCCCCTTATTATATGTTCGACATTTAGGGATGTGAAAGTAAAAAGTTCAGTTTCAGATGGTTTAAAAATGAGTATCATTTTCAGGTTTCCCTCATTATAAACCAATATAGACATAATCCAAGTTTAAAAATAATTTTATAGTAAAAATTACAAATAAGGCAAACAAAAAATAAAAATTTCATTAGGCTCATTAAATAAAAATTTAAATTTATGGTCAGGTGCACTTAAAAAAAGTGATTAGTTTTTATTTAAAAGACAGCCAACACCTATCAACTGTTTGTATTGACAAAATTCAATGAGAAAGACAGCCGATTAATTTTTTAATTAAAAATGATTTTCAAATAAAATTTATTTTCTTAAATGTATGATTGTAAAGATAGCTAAAAGAAAAGAAAAAAATAAATTCTAAAAGTTATAAATGTTTTCGAGCACTAACCTCAGTAACCAACGAAACAAGAAACAAGCCCGCAGAGATAGTTCTTCTAGTTGTCACGTTGCAATAGCGTAACATTTCACATAAGAAAATAAATGAAGGAGTGGTAACCTGATGACGCTTGTCGGATGTCGGGAATAGTAGAGGCACCAGTTTCAGAAATAAATACTGAAAAATAAAACAAAACATTTATTTCAAAACCTATTTATAAAATATTACAACTAATGGAATAAGACAATAGTGGAATATGTTTCTTAAAAATAAATAATAGAAAAATATGGAACTAAATCAAATACTGGGAACAGATTTATGGATGAGTCAACAAAATATCATATAATGAAAGTCAGAAAAAGCATTTGGAATGTGGACAGATGCTAAACGGGCTCAATATTGATATTTATCATTTATGGTTGCGCGATATTTACAAGTATGGTGCAACTGTTAGGTTATGCTGACGACATTGATATTGTTGCATGGTCCTTTGCTGCTTTCGAAGGTGCCTTCCTTGAATTGCAAAAAGCTGCAGCTAAGATGGGGCTCCACATTAATGAGAATAAGATAAAATATATGTATGTATACAGAAGAAGGAGAGAATCCCCAAAAACAAAAGAATATCTTTAGGCCCTTACACCTTGGAGAATGTCTGACAGTTCTCTTATTCTGGGATCTCAAATTACAGAAAAATATGAGGCATCATTTGAAATAAAGCGGAGAATAACAGCTGCTATTTCGGCCTACTTAAGCACATGAGAGGCTCACTACTTAGTAGACGAACAAAGCTGCAGTTCTATAAAACGCTCAACCGGCCAATTCTTACCTACAGTGGCCAAACATGGATCTTATCCAAAAATGATGAAAAAGACCTTCTGGTCTTTGAAAGGAAAACCCTTAGAAGAATATTTGGCCTTGTAAAGGAGTGACTGGATTGGAGAATTCAGAAAAATGGAGAGGTCCACGAATTATTTAATAAACCTAATGTGGCCAGAATAATGAAGTTAGGAAGGCTGAGTTGGGCAGGACGCATAGCTCGGATGGAGAGGTCTGAAATCCCGATAAGAGTGTTTGAGGAGCCATTACACTTTACGAGGAGAGCTGGCAGACCGAAATTAGATGGGCAGGTGACGCTAGAGACCTGTCGGGAGTCATAAACTGGAAAGTGGCCGCACAGAATAGAGAAATTTGGCGGAAGTTTATTGAGGATGCAAGGACCCACTGAGGGTTGTAGAGCCATTAAGATAAATAGATCATTTAACACTTACTGTTTCCTGAGAAGGATATTTATGTTTTTTCTTCAAGAAGTCACTATGCTTTTCATTAATGACTTCACCAAGACAGAATGCAGCATTATTCGGTGAAAACTGAGTCAGAACAAAAAGCTGTGGAGCTAAAAGATTAAGAATATCCCAGGCTTCCTATAATAAAATTATATTTTTATTACTATTTAATATCAGGCAATAACGTACCAACTAAAAATAAAATATTATTGATACAAAGTTATAGAATTAAACATAGATAATACTTACAGATTCACTAGCATCGTTTAAATGCTGCATCAATAATGCAAACAGATTTTCAAGTTTTTCTTTATTTTTTTCATTTAAACTTGGATGATTACATTTAATTATCCTTTCAACAATTACAGTTTGTTGTTCCGGGGTCCTGTCTTTAAAAAGTTCAGTAAGTTCTTCATAATCGCCTGGAGCTAGAAACAAATCAATAAATCATTAATTTGTACAATTCACATAAATAGAAGAAACAAAGCAACCTGAGGCACCTAAAGAAAATTATAACGCGAGCAAATATGTTTATCATATTTTGACTCCACATTGTCCTACAGATTGGTATGGTCCACATTGGTACAACAGATATCATTTTACTTTCACTTACCTATATATGTAATATATAGTAAGGGAAAGTATTGCGATCGTGAAAATATTTGAATCTGAGTTTTCAACAGAAATACACGTTTTGAGGTACCCAGAGTCCAAATAAATGGTCTGTGTGTGTATGTTAACAGTCTAGCTCAAAAACGAAAAGTCATACGAAACTTATATTACATATTTAAGACAGATGTGACAGCAACTTTTTCCTTAAAATCGGCTAACCGGAAGTGCCACTTTATATCAACAGTGAAACACATTTTGTGAAACAAAACAAACAGCTCTAACGATTTTGATTAAACTCAGTGTATCATTGTGTAATTAACTAGTCTTTAATATCAATTAGGTCTTATCCCCATTGATGTCACTTTACAGGGCTTAAATGCCCAATATTCATGTACGTCTTCCTCTAAAGTACCTTTAATATGGTTTATTTTAAATAATTAAATAACTCACATTATTAAGAGTTACGAAAAAATTCTAAATATGACTAAGACATAACCTATAAATTTGTCCGCAAGTGAAAAAAGTGGGGACCTTTGGCCTAAAAAATCAAATTCCAGTTATCTTGTTATCTGTTTACCTTTCTGTCATATGTGCGAAAATATAATATGATTGAATTAAACTGATTTTTTACACCGGAATCCTTAAAAATGCCATGGCAGCCTAGATCAGAAGCCATGAAATAACATAAAAATATTAACAATACTGCACATTCAGAATGAGAGCACAACTAAAAAAAAAAAAAAAAAGAATTGTTCCACATATAATCTCTATTTGACCTTATACTTGAAAAGTGAAATTCGAACTTTCTAATTTTTGGCAGAAGCAATTTAGAGTTAGGTATATCTTATTGTGAATGTGCAACATATACAGATTAAATAATTAACATATATAGATTAATCAAATTTTACATTTATAATTTTTGAATGTCTAAGAATTATGTAAATGACAAATACCTTCAATGGCGTATGGAATATCACTGTATTTATCTTGCATTTTTTTCAGTTTATCACTTTCTGCATCATTCTCCCCCAAGGCGGTAGAATCTGAATGTTCTTTCTTATAAGTCACAAGAGTTACATCTTTACTAAAACTCACTTTCTTCTTCTCTTTGATTTTATTTTCCAAGTCTTCAAGGTTTGTTTCAACTTCCTTACAATCCTCTAGTTCTGTTGAATTATCCTTGTCATTTAACTTATCCTTAGTGGATTTTTTATTCTTTTTCTTAACTTCTAGGCCCGAGTTTCCTTCTGATTGAGAAATTTTATTTGATTCATTTTTCGAAAAACTCTCATTTTCTATTTCATCTTCACTGTCGACTTCTATTTTTTCCTCTGCATCGTCTGTAACTTGAAGATCAGATAGATTATCAGATTCGTCCCCACTACTATCTTCATTATTCTCTTCATCTTTTTCAGGGTCTTTGATATCAGCATTTTCTGAATCTTTTGGATCATCTTCTTCTTCAGCACTATCGTTATCTTCACCACTTTCCTCGTCACTTTCATTTTCTTCATCGCTCCCAAAGTCAGGTGCTTCCTTTTTCTTTCCAATAACTTCATTATCTGTAAAAACAAAAAAACAAAAGTGAAATACACAACAAATATGCGGCACGAACTGAACATTAATTGTTGCTGTTCATTACCATTAAGTTTGTCCAAGCCAATAGGATTGCCATCTTTATCATAAGTCAGTTCAAAACTCTCTTCTTCTATATCTAAACTGAAAATGAAAATACATAACTGTAAAATAAACTTTTATATAACAATAAAATTAAATTGAGATCGACTGTTGGGTCATGGATTAGTATTAATTGCAGTATAAATCAACCCTAAACAAACCGGCATAAACTGGTATTGTGACAGAATAAAAATAATAGCTCGAAAACCTATATAGAAATGGTCAATACATTTTAAAATTTAAATTAAGGATTACACAAACCCATGAATCAGCAACCATTTCTTAATAAATATAAGAAGCAAAAATAATAAGATAATGCAACAAAACAAATAACACCAACACTCTTACCATTCAATAAACAATTAAATTACGGAATATTACTAATAAGATATATCACATACATGGGTACATACAAATAATGCACCAAGTGAACTGGAATGTTATACCTAGTCATGTCATAAATATTATTACAAGGAAATATATACAGATTTCAACAGAAAAATAAACTTTTTCAAAAACTTTATTAGAAAATACAATTTATATCTATAGAGTAAAACAAAAAAGAAATTACTCAAAATGTTCCCCTTTTGCCTTGACACAGACATTTAATCTCAGTGGCCAGTCATCAACAGCAGCACACAGCTTTTCTTGAGGTAAGCGTTCAACTGCTCGGACAAGAGATTGTTTGAGGCCCCCCAAATTAGGGTGTGCTCTGTGGCATGCCATTCTCTCCAGTTCTTACCAAAGCCGATTATCTAGTGGGCTAAGATCAGGGCTTCCTGAGGGCCAAGTTAAACTCTGGAATGTTCTTTTACAGCCACTGCTGAATTGATCTGGCATTATGAGCTGGAGCGGAATCCTGCTGGAAAACTCAATGACTTCCAGCAAACAAAGTATCATTGAACAGGTTCTAAAATATCGTCCTGATAGTTTTTTTTTATCCTTTTTCACAAAAATGGAGTTTTGTGGTGCCATCAAAGCAAACTCCCCACCAAACCATCATTGAGGAAGGGCGATGACCTCTTTCCAGTCTTTCAATGACTCCTGGGTTTCTTTAGAGATGTGAGTGTACACACGATCATTTTGGTGATTAAATTTTTCTTTAATTGTAAAAATTGCCTCATCGCTAAACAAAATCTTTCGGTAAAGACCAAGGAACACTTTGCATCTATCCACTCTAATTTTTTTAGGGAAGTGGTTAGTCACTGTCCTGTCATACTTCGAAATGCAGCCATCCTAAGGTCACTTTTAATTATGCGAGACATTGATCTGACAGAGATTCCCATTTCTCAAGACATAGGATTTGTTGCTTTTGAATGGCATTTCTTCTGAATTGAGAAGCCACTGCTCTCAGAGCATTTGCCATTCTCACAGTGCGGGGAGGGTCCAGTCGAGGTCTGTCACATACAGATAGGGTCTCATTATAGTGCAGTACATGAACATACGGCTGATACCCAAAGGATTCTCAAAGTGTTGGAAATCTCTGACCTACATTTTTCAAATTTTTTTCGGGGGATCACAGCTATTTGGTTTTCTTTATCACCCCACTCCATCTTAACTGAACGAAAGAAAAATACAAACTAATTGCGATTATTATCCTGACATGTAAAGAAAATAACCTGATAAGAGTTAAGGATTATCTAAATAATACCAAACGATGTAAACAAATCTCAACTTATGTAACAGTATTTATGGCAGAACTAGGTATAGTTTAGCTATTAAATTAGTAATTAGCATGGTATTAAAGTACCTCAAAATATGGAAACATATATTTATTTAAAGCAGAGGTATTCTGAACTTTTTATTTTAAGGGGTCAGATTGATTCCTCCACTACTCAGATCAACTATAATACAGTTAAATTGTTTGTTTTAAAATTAATAATGAACGTCCATGATAAACAAAAAAATTCTTGTCCGGCCTTCAAACAATTGGTAATTATTATGAAACTATTTATATTTATTAAACTTAATTTTTCATATTTGTTAATTTATATTTAAATATGCTCTTTTTTCATATTACTTATTTATTGATATGTTTTGTTTACACTAATTATTTGGTTCATTTATTTTTACTTTTAATAAACTTCTCTTTTTCATTTATTTCTAACACAAAAACATTTTCTTAGTACACTGAAATGTTTTTATTATTGCTATGATTATATAACCATAATTTCGTTTGTACGTTTTATCTTTTTCTTCACTTATACTTTTATATTTATCGTTTTACTGATGTAATTATTGTATTTTTTGGCTCTGATGATGATCCACATGTTTAGGTCAAAACGTTGGCAAATTCAATAAATAAATTTTTGAATGCACATCCTGACCATTTTTTATCCTTATAATTTCAAAATTCAACTATAAAGGCATCTTTAAAGTACATAATAAAAGTTTGTTGCTCATTAAAGAAACATATTTTATTATTATTTTTTATGATTTATTTTACAATGAAATGAAAATAAACAATGGGATGGATTTTCAGTGTTAGCGGACCAGATTAGTATCATAGTTTGAAGATGAATGATGTGAAGTAATATTTAAATATTTAGATAGTACTTCAATCTAGCTATGATGTTAAAATATCACTAGGACTCTAAATTGGATATATTCTGGGTCATATTAAAATTGATTTCTTAGATAGAAATAGGATGGCAACCAAGAAAAGCCAACCGTAGGTAATTTTATCTAATTCTCTATGGCACAATGCACATACAACTGGTAACAAGAAGAAGTGCAGTGGAGGTGAGGTGCAACACAGTGCCTTTGAGATAAAAATATGGCCGATGTGACAAGGTTTAAAAGAAACATGCCCACTGTCATTAGTTATGCTATCTTTATCAAAGGCTAGTAGTCACAGTTGACAATGATAGGACATGAAATAGTAATAATACAATTCTTAGATACATTTCCAACTCATGTTTTTTTTTCGTTATGAATATGTTTTAATCATTACAAAAGAATTCAAAATTTCCTTTAGCTGTTCAAATCTGAATTTAAAAAACAAGATCTGCAATATTCTCACTCCATTAAGTATTTAAACGACATAATTTACTCTTAAACGATGTACTAATGGATATTAAAACCATAGTGATAGTACGTGAGTGTTGGTGAACAGAAATAATACTTAACAAACTTAATTTTCTAAAGCAGTTATTTTTTTCTAGTAACTATTCATTGATCCTCATAGTGCACTCAGTTCCTATAACCTGACTAAAAATTGTAACAGTTATGCTATAGTTTTTGCTATAATTATAACAACTTTTGAAAACGATTTCCTAGACCTAGAAAATGAATCTACATGAACAGATCAAAACTATTTGAATTAATTAAGAGACTTAATTACCCATCATCAAGATCATCTGCGCTCCGGTGTTGTTTTTTCTGGGTACTATTAGGTTCCTCACCACGCATACGCCTTAATCTTTCTTCTTCCAACTCTCTTAATTTATTAGCTTCTTCTTCAGCGATCTCAGCTTCACTCTTAAGTTTATTACTAGGCTAATAAAACAATAAATATGATCAAATGTAGCTTGTACACATCATAAAAATATGAATTTGTTCATGAAAATGTAAATAGATATCTTTCTTGTTTAGAATAATTATTTAATATTTTGATAAAAATTCTGTTAAAGAAATGATAATGCTGTACATACCGTTCCTCTCGGCTCAAACTTTAGTTCATTCATCAGTACATCATAAGAGTCTTTCTTATCTACTAAATCTTCCTGTTTCCCCATATTGACGTAAGGAAGAAGCTCCTTCCATTCAGCATCCAACTCTTCAGTTTTTTGTAAAGTTTTTTCTTTAGCCATTTGTCTCTCAGCTTTCCTCTTCTTACTTTCAGCAATAAGTTGATCTATTATTGCAGCTCTAGATGTTTTGCTTTCTCTTAGAGTACCTCCTCCAAAATTGGCTTCCTCCACAAAATTAGCTAAACAAAATTTATTTATATAATTTTAGATACATACGAATATGTGTACATATAAATTAGAATAAATGAAATAAAAGAGCTTGTCCCACTTTGATGGATTGTAAAGGATCTCATGACCACTCTACAAACAGAATTTTGAGAGTGTCTAAAAATAGATAGAGGTGAGCAAATCTGCTGGAAGTTTGTCATTTTAAAGCGAGTGTGGCAAGAGGAAGTTAAAAGGAGTGATGTCATTAAAGGTGATTAAGGTCCCAATTTTTATTGAACAAGAACAGTAGGGAACTCACAAAAATCATAATCTAAATAAAATGAATTATTTTTAATGGGAACAAATCCATGTTTGGCCAATCGTGGAATTTCTTTTATAGCGTAGAAAATCACTATCTTGACCTACCCCACAAAGTGGAGCAACATGATAAGTAGTACTGAGAAAATAATTACGAATATTTTATACTACATGAAAACTACATACCATCTAATCCTTTGGATTCGTTATAATCTTCATCATCACTTACTATGGGATCTTCAAAGTTTTCAATTTCAGCAATTGATTGACCTTTATGTGTCAAAACTTCATCATCAGCAAGATTAAATATAGCTTTCTGCAATAAAAAATATAAATACTAGAAATGAAAACATTAATTTTGTCCATAAATAGAAACGTTACTATACAAGTGATTTACAATACCAAAGAACTACAAACTCAAGTAAAAATAAAAAGGTATTTAAAAATCTTACCCGTTTATGAGCTTTCATTCTTTCAGCACTGAATCGGGCAATGATCTTATCTTCTGCTGTCATTGCTGAATTTTTTTCACCTATTCTTCTGTCAAAAAATTTGTTGTTTTTATTTAAGACTTTGTATTCTTGTAGAAGAGTTGCCTTTCTCTAAAATCCAAATATAATTACTGACTAATTATAACATTTCTGCTGAATCAAAAATTATCTAAGGAAATACTATTAACAACAAACTTACCTTTTTAAGAGCTTTAGCCTTTGAAACTCCCGGTAAACCCTTGTCTGTTTTTAATTGCCTGCCCAATACATTAAACTTTTGTTTGTTCACATGAACTTCAAAGGGATTTGAACTTCTTTTTATATTTGTTTTTAGATTTACTCGCTCGGCGAGATTTTTCTTCTTGTGTTTCACCATATTTATAACGAGTTTATAACAACTTAATACACGTGAATATAAACATGACTATAACAAAATAATAACCTCCTCTTTCATCAGCCTTCTATTTACCATTTGAACGTTAATAAAACTTATTAAAATTAATACAAAAACCGTTAATTGATCAGAATATAGAAACAAATATTAATTGAATTATTTTCAATATTTGAAATAAAATAAGAGACATTATTTAACAAATTGTCACTTATGTTGTTTTCAAGAATTATTTAAACACCATTTAATATAACAGCCCTATTCCATAACCTCCTCAAAACTCAAGTACATTTTAATCAAAATTGTAGTTTATCGTAATCATTACAATGACAGTTTTACATTTAATATCCAAAACGGATTATGACAAAGTTGCAAAGTAAGTATCTTCTTCAAAGTATGCTGGCCCTAACAATATTAGGGTTTTCACTTTGTATTGCCTTTTATTTTTATCTGATTAATATTTATTTCATTATTTAGTATGAACAATTTTTTTGGTAGGATCAAGAAACTTTTTTAATACCAAATTTTAGGGAATTACTGCTATGTTATGCATCCTCTGAGTCAAATGCAGGATTAGTTAAAAGATAGTAGAATAAAATCCATGAGATGGTAGTTTCTAATTATTCAGTTATTGTTTCCATGATCATTTCTTGAAACTTTTGCAGTTAGTTTTTACTCATATTCAAATATCGTTTATTATTTTTATTATAATGATTTTATTGAAAATATAATTTTACAAAAATCTATTATATTTATTATGGAAGGGGACAGTTCAGTAAATAAGTGACCTTGTGCTTCTATTCCTCAGGATCTGGTTATAGTCTGGATACGGCAGACATATATTTTATCCGTTGTAGATTAACCATAGCGTCTGTACTTCACAAGTGTCACTGTTACTTGGGGACAGTCAAGATCACATCAGTTGCATTGCCAATGAAGTTTTCAAAATGGCCAAGTGGTACTGGAAGTTGATGGAGGTGACTGATCCCCTTTATATGACCCCAGCCTCATCTGATAAGGACCTTTTGAGCGAGCCGAAGTTGCAGTCTAATTAAAGAGAGATTACACTTTTAACATGGTTGTCACCTAGGACTCCACCTGGACAAACGTCTAATTTGGAATCCTCATACCAGACTGAAACGACAAGAAACAGCTCGACGTTTCCGACTACTTCAACACTTATTAGACAAACGCTCTAACCTTCCAATTAATTACAAAAGACTCATTTACATGACTATAATAAGGCCTATTTGGACTTATGGAGTTGAGCTATGGGGCTCCACCAAACCTTCAAATTCCTCTAGTATCCAATCCAAAATCCTTCGTAAAATCCTCTATGCTCCTTACTTTGTTACAAATAAAATTATCCATAATGACCTTAATGTTCCTTATGTATCAGATTTGGCCCAATCCAGGTATCTTTCCTTCCATAATAAACTTCATAACCATCCCAACCCTCTTGTTTCTAACCTTGCTTCCTATTCAATTCCTGATAACCCTCTGAGGCGTCTGAAAAGAAGATGGCCACGTGATCTCCTAATATAGACATATTATTAGAGTGCTACCAATGGATAGTTTCTCAACATGTGTTTCATGTCATTATATTCATGTGCGAATTTACTAGATGTATTTTTTACAGTTGTAAATATCATATAAATAAATAAATAAAATAAAAAACATGGTTGTCAATACTCACTCGAATTCTTTCTACTGTGTGATCAATTTTATATTCAGTCAGCACAGAGTGATATTGTGAAGTTTTACCCTTCTGAAATCTATTCAGTGATTACCCTTGATTAAGAAAAACTGGGAGACCCTAGTTAAATCGCCTCCTTGCTTAAGTTTGATCTAGAATGTAATGCTTTTTAGCAACTATTGATCATTTACAATACAAGATATATATCATATCCTTGTTATACTTTAATCTATAATGCTCTTGTATCACTTCAGATTCAGGCATGAAAATTCTTTGCAACTGATTAATGTTTAAAAAACTAATTATATCGTTACTGCACCTAGCTCGAGTTGTATAGAATGCACATTTCACTATAATTTGTTATTTATTATTTTTTTGTATGGTATGACTTAGAACATTAGATTTTTCTTAATTAATAATTGTTGGCCACAATAGAATTTTAAAGTAAAAATCACTTATTTTCAGTACTTATAAAATTGTATGTTAAATAAGTATTTAAATATTAAGCAAAATAGAGACGATTTAAGGTTAATAAAATTAATTTGTTTGAGTATTATTATCCTGGAGGAAGATATCAATATTTATTTTGTTATCAGATATGTAGTTTGTTTAGATTTTTGTGAATTTTAAACCAATAAATTTTGAAGTGCTCCATAATGCATATACTGCACCAATTATTTTTTATTTGTTTTATGATAAGCATTGAAATCTTATTTTTTATAAATATTTTTCTGATACAAATATGTATATTTACTTATAAAAAATTATTATTAATATTTGATGCTATTCTTTATTGAAATTATTTCTTACGTTATTGTTTATTAGCTCAAAATATGTGGTTATTCACTTTTTTGCGGAATGGGTAGAACAGTGTAGGGATATGAACAATGTTCTAGATGAAATGGCGAAAAAGGTCACTTACAAAGTAAGTTAACCAAATAATTAACCATTATAAAATTTTTTTATTTATTATATCTTGTTAATTGTTTAAATATATTTTTTAGGAAGTCATCTTCTCTAAAATACCTGCTGAACAAGTGCCAGAAGTGTCATTAAAATATAAAATTACAGCTGTACCAACAATCATAATTTTACAAAATGGTAGCGAAGTTGACCGGGTTGATGGTGCTCATCCCAGTCAGCTTAACAAGAAGTTAGATGCTATGGTAAATTTTCTTATAGCAAATTTATTTGTTAAGTATAAATAATAAATAGATAATTTTTAAAAGTAACCATATATGAATATATAGAGATGGGTAAGAAATTAACTGTTGAAATTAGTCTAAGAAATAAGTCTAACAAGAATTGTGTTAGTCTAACCCACGGATCTCCTAACTTTTTGACCTTATTGAGACCTCCATCTACATCCTCTGAGCCACGGCTTGTGATGAAAAAAAAAAATTATGTTCTATAAATGACACTTCAGTTGTGAAATGATTTTTCGAAGAGAAAATGTTGTACAGGAATTTTTCTAAATTTCATACTTTTTAAAACTATTAAAAATGTAATCCAAGAAACTTTCAGTGGCTGGATTTGATGTGCTTGCTTGCTTGCCCGCGGGCCATAGTTAGGAGACCTCTGGCCTAACCAGTTCTTGTTAGACTTCCAAACTATAGCCCTGATGATGACCCACATGTTTGGGTCGAAAAATCGAATAACTCATTAAAAGAAATTTTTTAATACAAATCCTTACAATTTTTTTTTCATCCTTATGTATGAATATAATATTATTACCTATAAATTTTCCTTTAAATAAATAAAATAAGTTCCAACTCTTGATAATTTATTCTGGTTTCTTATCAACTGATAATTGTTCAAGTAGACTCTCCGATATACTTGAGATTGCCTTTTAGAATATATTACAGGAGATATAAAACTTTAACATTAAATTATATTTATCTATAAAATTAAATTCAGGAAGACAATCTAAATGAGGTTTTGAAAAAAAATGGTTTAAGGCATAGCATACCCTAAAACTTTGACTTAAACATTCATATAACTTGGCACACCACCTGAGATTTGATCATGTTACTAATAAACATTTGTCATAGAAGATATAAAATGTTATTTATAAAAGTTTATTCAATGGATAATACAATATACATTACCGTATATTTACTTAAGAATAATAATAAATTGAAAATATAGTTAAAATTTAAAAATCAAATGTTTTTACATTCTCAACTTCATCAATAAAAAAACTGAAAATAAACAAAAATACGTAAGTGAAAGTAAAAAGCTACGCAAGTATATGTTCGATGAATTTTAACTTGATTACTAAGTTCTCTTTAACTCGTAAGTGTTTTCATCTTCTCTAATCTTCTTAAATTGAATGAACAGCTGTGTAAGATTTGTGATCGGGGCCCCAAGATACTCCCATGTCTCTCACCACTACGCTGAGTTAAATTGGCTTTTCCCCTCCTTCCGAAGACAATATTTCCTAGGTATGTTCCTCTACCAAATCATCATCAACCATCATCCTTCTTACGCCTACAACCTTCTCCAGTTCAAATCCCCAGTCCATTCTCTGTCCACAAGATCTCGACCTTCTAACCTTTACATGCCTTTTTACAGATCTGCCTCATTCCAAAACTCCTTTATTGCTCGCTCTGTCAGTTTCTGGAATTCCTTCCCTATCAAAATTCGACATTCCCCATCCATATCCACATTAAAAACCCTCCTATTCCAATTCCTATCCCAAAAACAGTCAGATAGTTGAGTTGCTAACCATTCGACAACATACATTTATTTCATGCCATTCATTGTCAAATATCAATTCTAAATGATAATGTATTTATATATTAATCAGGCACTTTATATTGTCAGATTCAACTTTCTGTTTTCTCAACAGAAACACAAAGCTGATTTTAATAAAGAATTTAATATATTTTGAATTCTTAATTGTTTTCTTAAAAGTATATACTGATATATTAGTGCAAATAGCTTTAAGCGTCTTGTCATAGTGTTAATTTTTTTGTATATAGAATGTTTACTTTATATTTTCTTTTTTTCGATTGATTTTATTTTGGCCAGATGTAATCTTTTAATTTTGTTCTATTTTGTTATTCTCAAGGGACTTTGTCCCAGAATAAAGTTATTTTCTATCTATCTATCTAAATTGGTGTAGTCATTAATTAAATAAAAAGTTAGTCCTCTTTAAACGTGTTAAAAAGGTTGGGTGGACATTTTCACATTCTTTTATCAGAAGACAGCCTTCGATTGTCTAAACCAGGAGTCTCTAAACTTTGAGACATTCATCCAAGTTTCGCGGGCCATACCTTGTGATGAAAAAAAAAAATCTTGTTCGATAAATCACACTTCAGCTGTGAAATGAGCTAAAATATAAATATAGAAATAACTTCATTAACATACATACATTGCAGAGCTAGCTTAAAAGTATAGAGAGGGAGAGGGAAAAAAAATTAATACTTATAATTATATTTGGTTATACATATGTAAGAAAATTACATTTGAATATTAGATAATGGGACATGGTTAATAAGTAAAATTAATACAAAGTGGGAAAAAGGATGATCATACATTGGTGTAGAGTGTAAATGTAAATTTAGAATAAAATAGAAGAGAGATCATACAAAGAAGGAATATTTAGAATAATGAACAATTAAATGAATTAATTAATAATAATTGAGAGTAGATGAAAATAATAGAATAGAAAAATATTCTATTCTAAGTTATTTTTCCCTTATAAGACTTAAAATGTGTCTATATGTAAGAGAAATACAGTTTTTGTCTACTTTGTGATTAACGGGATTCTGTTCCATGGGAATGTGGATAGATTCGGAAATGAGTCTTTTTTCATGGTTAGGGACCGTGGAAAGGATAGAGGTTTTTTCAAAATCAAATGAGTGGTTGAGGGTTAAAGCATGTTCTGATAGTTTAGAGGCGGAAGGATTCCGGGAAGTTATGGACGTTTTATGTTGGGAAATGCGGGTTTTGAGATAGTTTTTGGTTTCACCAATATAGGAGCTATTGCAATTAGGAGTAGAGCAGGGTATCCGGTAAATTACATTAGATCGGTGTTGTAAGAGTATGGGATCCTTCAAGTTGGTGAAAAGAAAAGAAAGTTTGTTATGGGACTTAAGGCCAAGGCGTAAGTTGGTTATAGTCGATTTTAGGAATTTTTGTATATTGTCTGAGAGGATAGGAATATAGGGGAGAGATTTGTATATGAAAGGAGTGGTAGATGATTGTGGGGAGTTGGGAGAATGGGAGGTTGTATTATTTATTGTACTTACTCTTTATAATTTTAATAAGCTTATTCACATTGTTTATAAATTATGTCTAAATATTATGTAATTGCCACAATTCTCTATCTTTTTGTATCTTGTCCCTTCTAGCCCTGATGAAGACCTGCAAAGTCGGGTCGAAACGTTGGCTTTCAATAAAATAGTTTTACCACTATTTAGCCTTTTTATGACCGCAACCCTGGACCATCTCCTTCCTTTATAATGCAACGGTCAACTATTAAATATTCAAAGAATTAATAACGTATAACTAGTTTTTTTTTTTTTTTTTAGTTAAGTGTTCCACTGAAACAATCACCTAATAAACCTATTAAGGAGAATACTACATCACAAATAACTAAAGAGAAAAAAGTTGATTTGAACGAAAGACTGAATAGGCTGATTAATTCATCTGATGTTATGCTATTTATGAAAGGTAATGCGGACCAACCAAGGTGTGGATTCAGCCAGAAATTGGTTGATATCTTAAAACAACATAATGTAGAATTTAAAACGTTTGATATTCTAAACGATCAAGAAGTAAGAGAAGGATTAAAGAAATATTCCAATTGGCCTACATATCCACAGGTCTGAGGTTATTAGATACGAGGTGATTATCCTTAGTTTTCAGAACAGTGAATTAATATTTATTCTTTAATTGTAGTTATATATCGGTGGTGAACTAATAGGAGGATTGGATATTGTCAAGGAACTCGTAGAAGCTGGGGAATTCGAGGAAAAATTTCCAAAAAAACATTCATTAGAGGATAGGTATGAGTATAGTTTTCTCATATTTATTATTATTACTATTTTTAAGTATTTTCTAGTTAATAATTTTTTTAATAAATTATGCTTAATTGAATTAAGTTTACAATTTTAATTTATTTGGTGAATCGTACTTCTGGTGAACTTATTGTCCCTATTTAATTCAAAACTAGCCGAGCCTCACAGTAAATTTGAGCCTTCACTTATACATAATCAGTTCATGACCAAGTTCATATAATTATTTGCAGAACATCCAAAAATGATGTGGAAAAACGATAAGGTCATTCACCTGAGCTGATTTTAGTGAAAAGATTGCAATAAGATCCCTTACTTAGCTTAAATGTGTAGTTTCAGTGTCTGTCCTCTACATAAAACAAATCAATTAATCGAAAAGCATCACCAATGAAATACTAAAGCAGAAACCGTGAATTTTGCTGAAGACTACCCACCTTGGTCACAACGGATCTGACCGAAAATCAGCGCAAAGATCCCAGTCATAACAAAAAAAAAAAAAGTGACGTAGACACTCTTGTAGCCAAAGCCTTGCACTCTAGACCACATTAACTCGGCCTATCCTAAAAATAAATGGACGAGAGTATACACACATGAGTCTGCTAAAAATGCCATTGCAAGCGGAGAAGGGAGCATCCATATTGAATTTCCCAATGGACATGTTCTCCAAAAAGCTCTCCCCACTGGACTCGTACTCAAGGAACTATAGAGCCGAGCACTACTCCATCTTGATCGCAGCCAGGATCCTATAGAGTCTTAAGAGATGCCCACTCTCATGCATTGATTGTATTCATGACAGATTCAGAATCCGTTCTTGAATGCCTCAAAAATTAATGGAAGAGTACACTATATACATTAGGGTACTACTTTATTAGCAGGCCGGGTCGAAACCTCACTTCTTATCTATGTTATCTAACGTCACATCACATAACCTCCCTCTTCTTGTCCCGCCAAACCTTTCAGTTATTACATTGTTTATTTTTCAGTTATTCCCTTATTACATTCACTTATTAAATTATTTATTTTTGGCCCGTTCGTGTTTATTTTTCATATTTTGTTAGTTTATTTTCGTCAATGTTCTTTAAGTGTTGTTTTTATTACTTCATTTTGATCTTTTATATATTATATGATATATCATACGATTATGGGGCTCAGCTAAGTGGAGAAATAGAATACATAGAGGAACTGCCAAACAAGACCTCAATTCATGACGATGAAGAGGACCCGTTTCTCACTATTTTAAATAGCATAAAACTATTTTGCGAACCAAAATAAATAAGACAAAGTGAAAATAAATTGTACATATGTCGTTGATATTTTTTCTTTTATGTGTACATATGTTCTTTAAGTGTTTTTTTATTATTTCATTTTAATCTTTTATATGTGCATATCTTCTTTAAGTGTTTTTTTATTATTTCATTGATATATGTGTCGTAAAATAAAAGTATTTTTTTTGTTTACATTCATATTCACATTTGTTTTTGTTTCTGTTTACACTTTCAATAATACGAATAATATGAAGATAGGAATTAGGAGAAGGCTTATCGGAATTATCAGTGTTGAGGTTATAAACATTGGCAGATAGCAGTCAGTGCCGGCCTGCTAGTGAAGAAGTACCTACATTAGCTGAAGAACTAGAAGATCTAAAAGTACAGTACCACAAGGTGGTTCTACAATGGATTCCAGAACACTGTCGGCTTGCGAGGAATGAAATTGCAGATCAATTGCAGGATCTAAAGAAGGAACATCGCTCCCCCAAATTAGCAACATCCCTAGATTGGAAGTATTATTAATAAAGCCACCATAAACCAGAGGTGGAAAGCAAGTCTCTCAAATCATAATCCTCATGTCGATTATTTCAAGCTAATCAGAAGAGAACAAGTCATTTTTTGCCTCAGAACTGGACATAACCGCCTAAAATCATACCTCTTCAGGAAATTCAAGATACGGCTCAGTCCCCTTTGTGAATGTGGCCAAAATGAACAAACCACAGAGCACGTGCAAAGCTGCCAGCTGCTAGATGACATGTAAAGGCATATATGGCCCCAACTTACAGACCTTGGAACCAAGCTGTTAGGAAATCTTGAGGACCAAAAAAGTAGAACCACTAATTTTGTTTTTTTTATTTCCTGAAATAGCCAGATAGAGAACAAAGAAGAAGTGCCTTACAAAATTTCATTTTTTAGTTGGTGGCACGTGCACAGATCTTCGTTATTGGACTCCTATGAATTTAGAGAAAACTTGGATTTTAAAATTAATTATTCTTACCATATATTTTATTTACAAATATCTGAAAAGCTAAAAAGCCTCAAATTTATATATATTATTGTCAAACAATCTTAATTTAATATATTGTAACATCTCTCTCTTATATTTTACAAATAATAATATGACCTCATGGAAGATTGTGTTATAACGTTGGGATACTTCTTAAATAAATAGGAGGTTATTAAATAATAAATAAAATTATAAGAGTATTAATATATTTATTTATCCCAAGGTATGGGTTACTGACAATCAGATCAAACTAATATTAACTACACTAAACACTGTTTAATTTTAAAATAAAGTCAAGTATGGATTGTCAAGCTAACCTTTTTTTGTATATATACTGTTTCTTCCTTTGTTCCACTAAATTCATTTGTTTTCTAACATTTTCCTATGTTCTGCCAAACACATCTTTTTTAAAATGGTGACACTTACTTCTATTGAACTCAAGCTCCCTGGGAGATCCTATCTCTTTTCATTCCAAAGAACTAGTCTCTGTCAAACAAAATCTTTCAAGATGGTAATACTATTACTGGGTTTTACCCACTGGAGCCCGGATTATTTCTCCTATCCTCTCTTCACTGCAGCCACACAACTGCTTGTCAAAACAAAAATCTTTGTCCCTCTCCTATTTGGGATTTTCCTTTTTGGAGTAACTACAGAGCAGCCATTCTCTTTTTCTTGAACTAGTGAAACTAGATTAGCTTGCCTTTAATTTTTTTGAGTTGTTTAACATTAATTTATTAAACCTTTTTACTCACTTCCAATAAAGGTGTACATTACAATATTTTATGTGAATTATAAAAAAATGCATTACATTACTCCCTTCTTGCATGTAATTTGATAAAACTGTATGAAAATACATTTTTAAAACCACACACAAAAGTATATAAATATATGCAGTGCATTTAGAAAATGAGTATTTTCATAAAATGTTTTTATGAAATTTGGGACGGAACCAGATAATGGAGAGTCAAGTCTGTTCTACATACCTGAATAATTATTTTATGAGGAAAAATTAACCATTACTAAATACCATTAAGCAATATAAGTTAGTTTTAGTATTAATAAACCAGCCTGATATTTCTTGAAATCTTTATTATTTTTAAGGGAAAAATATATTGTTATAGGCTGAAGAGTTTAATTAACAAATCAAAGATAATGGTATTCATGAAAGGAGACCGCGAAAAGCCAAGATGTGGATTCAGCAGGCAATTGGTTCAAATCCTAAATGATGCTGGGTAAATATGTTCATGCAAAAGCTTATATGTTGACTATTTTAAAAACTTTTACGATTTCATATTAAGCTCTGCTAAAAACTGAATTAATATTCTGCTAATTGATTTTTTTCAGAGCTAAATACGAAACTTTTGATATACTAGAAGATGAAGATGTGCGACAAGGATTGAAAACCTTTTCGAATTGGCCTACATACCCTCAAGTATACGTTAATGGAGAGCTGATTGGGGGTTTAGACATCATTAAGGAACACTTAGAAAATGGTGAACTAAGTGGTTTGTTAAATATCTAAATATCAGTCAACCCATGTAAATTGTTAATACGCTCTTCATCTTTCATTTTAGTTAATAAATTATTTGTACTTATTTTCAATTGAATTAATACCTGTTTTCTGTATTTATGTTTTCTTTGCTATACTTCCTTCCTCCAAAAGTATACTTATCCTTTTTGACATTTTATTTATCAAAGTATGTTCTGTATAAAGTACAGTGATTTCCAAAAAAAATACTGTTTAAAAATTAGCTATCCATCCTTCATACAGATATCATACATAGCTGGCTAGTATTGATTTTTATTTTAGTTTAAATAATTTTTATGGTGTAGAATATTGATATTTAGTTCACAAAATATGTAAAGATGTTAAATTCCTCGATTCTAGACCAACTAAGTCGAATTTCTAGAGCTATCACATTAAATACCCCTCAAATGGTTTAGTTTAAATAATCTCTCAAATGATGACCGACTGCAGGACTATTTAATGACAGATCCTCAAATCAAATTTAGGCATATTGATTAGATAAATATAATCAAATAAAATCCCAGATAGTTAAGAAAAAAATAAAAGTATAACTTGACCCTTTTATTGTTGAACGATGATATATCATCGTTTGTTACACTTCCAGAAAGTGCTGATGATACATTACTTTGTACACGATAGCGCATCTTAAAATTCTCTATACTTCCATTCAACATTTTAAGAAACTAATAATTTGAAAAGAAGTTTTATATCTTTGAATCAAAAGAATAATCAAACACATCAATATCTTGAATAATTTGCTGTAAGACAAAAATTATCAAAAGTCCTCTAACTTTATTATTTAAAATTTTCCATCTCATTCACTTTAAGTGTAATCTTGAAAGAAAATTCTTATTGTGTGCGGTGCGCGAATCACGCAACTTTCACTTACCACCCTTTTGTAAACAGAAATAAGTATTTTCAAAGGAAAGTGATAATAAAAATTATAGACATCCCAAACCATTGTTTAAAACTATTAATTACCATATGTTTTTCATAGAAGTCTAATTTATTTATGTACCCTAACCATTTCATTTTGACTGTATATTTCAATTATTTATTTGATTATAATAAATAATTAAGTTCCACTAAATGTTTTTAGTCCGACAACACTGCGACTATAAAGAAGGCCTCTATATTTATTTATATATCATTGTGGATATTTTTATTTATTTAAGTACCGATACATATACAAATTTTAATTTTTATATTGCTGCAATCTATACAATTAAATAATACCAATGCTAGCATATTTGAAGACCACATAAGTATATGTATAAAATAATGTCGGAGTTTGTATTATATTAAGCTCGTGTTACGTATGGAAGCCTAATCTTTCGGCCGAGGTCGGGCGCGCTCATGTTTCTTCAGTCCCTCTATTACTGCTATTCTCTGTTGCGATCTCTTATTTCTCTTTTAGTTAATCATAAAATTCTTTCATATTTTGTAATTAATTTTTTGTACCACGTTACAATTTGAAATGGTTATTTTTTAATTAAATATTTAATTATACAGGGCCATTTAAGCCCTGTTGGAGAACACCAATGAGGAGAAAACCTACATTATATTAAAAATTGCTTAATTTTACATATTTTGTACCAGGTTACAATTTAAAATGTAAAATGGTTATTTTTTAATTAAATATTTAATTATACAGGGCCATTTAAGCCCTGTTAGAGAACAAAACAATGAGGCGAAAACCTACATTATATTAAAAATTTCTTAATTTTACATTGATATAATAAATTTAACCAAATTCATTTAAGCTGTTTTCGAGAAAATTGAAAAGATATGTTAAATCTATGATATAAAATGACACTTCTGGTAAGCCGATTTGGATGAAAACATTGCTGTAACATCTCAGGCATATACAACAAATCTTAAATATGCCATTTCAGTTTCGTACAAATTTCCATTTTTGAACTAGACTAATCACATATACACAGACCATTTTGCGAGACTATGTTATTTGGACTCAGGAGACCTAAAAACGTGCATTTCTGTTGAAAACTCTGATTCAAAAATGTTAACAATTGCAATACTTTCCTGTACTATATATTTCATTTATAGGTAAGTGAAAATAAAATTAAGTGACAGGTGAATAAGCAATGATTACACATTTTATCTCAATATATTGAATCTTAAAATTTTCGATGCATATTCATATTACCGATCAAATATTAAGTCAATTTGATTTTATAGTGAATCAAGGTAATAAAATTATATATGTATGATATTTAATCCTGATAAAATTGTATATAAGTAATAATTGAATTATTAACAGTATAATTAAAATATTTTATTATTAACCTTAAAACTTTTAAGTATATAACATCTTATTTTAATATGTTGAATCTTAAAATTTTCAATATATATTCATATTATTGATCTTTTATCTTGGATTTCATAATAATTCATGGTTGACAAATTATACGACATCAATCAGGATAACATCATAAAGGAGTAATAACAATTGAATTATTAACAACATAATTAAAATATTTTATTATTAACGTTAAAACTTAACAAAACATATTTATATTTTTTTACATATAATTTAAAAACCAGACCCATATTGCTGGTCCCACTTAAGGTATGTTTCCAAATCTTGATCAGAAACACTTGATTTCACTCGTTTCAACGCCACCATAAAATCATCAATATTCACAGGACGAACCTGTAAAAAAATCATTAGCATTCAATAATAAATGAATCGAATGGCGAAATTACTATTTATGAGTAGCAGAATTGTTGAATCTAATCTATCAATATTAGAAACTTCAAGGGTCTTTAAAAACAGACACTTATTAAGAAAAATTCATTGAAAAATGTGTACTTACTCATATATAGAATACCTCAGTTCTAAATGGCCAAACTCTGGGAGAGAGGTAGAGGGGGAATTCTAGACAAAATTACTAACAAAAAAAGTTCATTTGAAGCATGGGCTGATTCCAGATGGAAAAGGAGTTGAAACCAATTTTCTTCCTTAAGATGGAGAGGTTTTATTGAATATGAAAATATTGCACAAAAAATATTCAAGATAATTAAATTCTAAGCACACCATTGTAAAATAGATATAATTACCTTTAAGAAAATAGTACCCCCATACCAGACTGAAACAATTAACGTTTTCGACTACTGCAGCACTTACTAGACAAATGGTCTAAGCTTTCAATCAAATAAAAACTACTCATATATATATATATATATATATATATATATATATATATATATATGACAATAATAAGACCTATTTGAACTTACGGAATTGAGCTTTGGGGCTCCACTAAACCATCAAATTCCTCTTGTATCCAATCCTTACGATTTACAGTTGTAACTATTTACAATTTTATGAGGACTGGATGGATAAGAAATGATTAAACAGTTGGGATTTAAAGGTAGGAAGGGTTTTGGATTGACAGATGTGGGGAGGGATGGAGTTCCATATGGAAGAGGATTGAATAATAAAAGATTTATCGAAAGCAGCGGTTTGGTGGGCCATTATATATAAATCTGAAGACCGGGAACGGGTATTGTGGGAGCGGACAGAGGATTTAAATTGAAGGAGCTCGGCGATGTATGAAGGACGTCAGGAGTGAATTACTTGTAAGAGGAAGGATACCAGGAAATACTTATGGCGGTTGGAAGGATAAGGCCACTTCAACTCTGCATAGAAACAGGAAACAGGGGCGCCTCTTGGGATCCCGAAGATGTATCGTACAAAGCAATTTATCAAACGTAAATTAACGTATATACAAGTTTAAAAAATAAAAACTTTTCTATTTTCTGCAATGGATTTCCCATTTTGATTCTTAAATTATTGATCTAATATTCTTTAAATTAGCCACCATTTTTTAAAGCAGCGGCTTGGGAACGGCAGACAAGGTTCTTTTTATTTAGAATAACATAAACTTTCATAATTTATAATCAAACCTTCGCCTCCGATGAGGTCAGATTTTTGGACCCTGGCTCCAGGGCTATGACAGCAGGCTTTTCCATTATGAATCAGCCCGTGTATCAAATGAACTTATTTGTTTAGAATCACGCTCGCTCCTCAGAGTTCGGTCCTTAAAAACTGAGGCATCCTGTATAGTATTTACCGATTTCCTTTAACCATTAATTCCTCACAACTCTAAACTAATTAATATACACTTTGAAAACTTTATACAAAATATTATAATAAGTCAGCATAAGAGGATAATGCTAAATAATAGACAATTAGAGATCATTTGTTTTATACTCAGAGGAATAAATTGAAACGGAACAATTATTTTTTCAAACAAAAGTCAAATTATCAATGTAATTCATTTTACCTCATCAGCTGAAATCTGGAACATGTCCGTAGACGCAATCGACCTAATTGGGCCAAGACACGCTTCTTGGCACAGGTTTTTCATATCAGCACCTGAATACCCATCGGTCAAAGTAGATATTTTTTCTACTTCTTCGGGGGTTAAACTATTTCTTTCTAATTTCATCAGGTTAGTAACAAGCTGATTTCTAGCCTATAAAAATAAAAAAATAATTATAGAAGTCTAAAATATTTTTTTATTATTTCTTAATGATATTTACAACTGTATTATATAAATACATCTAGTAAATTTGAACATATGGATATAATGACATGAAAACACTTGTTGAGTAACTACCCAACGGTAGCACTCTAATGATATGTCTACATTAGGAGATAACGGGGCCATCTTCTTTTCAGACGCCTCGGAGGGTTATCAGGAATTGAAAAGGAAGCAAGATTAGAAACGAGAGGGTTGGGATGATTCTGAAGTTTATTATGGAAGGATAGGTATCTGGATTGGGCCAGATTTGAATAATGAACATTAAGGTCATTATGGATGGTTTTATTTCTAACAAAGTAGGGAGCATTGAGGATTTTACGAATTGGGCAATACGAGAGGAATTCGATGGTTTAGTGGAGCCCCATAGCTCTACTCCGAAAGTCCAAATAGGCCTTATTATAGTCATGTATATGAGTCTTTTGTAATTAATTGGAAGCTTAGAGCGTTTGTCTAGTAAGTGCTGAAGTAATCGGAATCGTCGAGCGGTTTCTTGTCGTTTCAGTCTGGTATGGTCTAAAATATAAAGTCATCATACTGGATCATGCGACCATTTTTTAAAAAAGTTTTCTGGGAATGTTCATTTACTTTTCTTTAGTATTTCAAATAACTTGAAAACTATGCATATCCCAGGACATTCCATATGCCCATTTGAAAGACAATTAAAATGTCTACAAAGGAAAATTAAAAAACAAAACAAAAAAATCTGGCTGATCCACTCACACAACTTTCATACCAACATCAAGGAAATTTAAGTCGCCATAATTTCCTCCATAAAAAAAGAAAAAAAAGGCAATTTCAAATCTAGAGATGAATTTTTATTTTTTAAATCAGACTTTGAATGTTGTAATGACTTGTTTTGAAGGAATATTATAACGTAACCAACTAAATAAACCAGATAAGACTTCTGTCATTATCTTATATTTCTATTTTAATTTTAATTGTGGGTTGATGGTTGACTGTAGAGAATAATTCAAGAGAAGGATGTTTGGACTGATCGGTTAAAATAAAAAATAGCAAAAATAAATAATATTTACTATGGAAAATAGAATGAGAGGAAGGAGAAAACTAAGATAAGGAAAATAAACGAACATGATCAATCCAAAAGCGTGGAGAGACGAAGGTATAGGTATGTTGGACCAATCTGTAACGGTTGACTGAAAAATTGGAACTAAATCACAGGAAAACCTCATACCAGATTGAAACGACTAGAAACCGCCCGACGTTTTCGACTACTGCAGCACTTACTAGACAAACGCTCTAAGCTTTCAATCAATTACAAACAACTCATATACATATATATGACAATAATAGGACCTATTTGGACTTACGGAATTGAGCTTTGGGGCTCCACTAAACCATCGAAATCCCCTCGTATCCAATCCTTACAATCCAAAATCCTTCGTAAAATCCTCAACGCTCCTTACTTTGTCACAAATAAAATCATCCATAAAGACCTTAATGTTTCATATGTTTCCGATTTGGCCCAATCCAGATACCTATCCTTCTATAACAAACTGCAGAACCATCCGAACCCTCTTGTTTCAAACCTTGCTTCCTCCTCGATACCTAATAACCCTCCGAGGCGTCTAAAAAGAAGATGGCCTCGGGATCTTCTAATATAGAACTTTAATTCGAGTTCTACGAATGGGTAGTTTCTCTTCATGTTGTACATGTTATATTACCAATGTCACATTTACTTGTATTTTTCATGTAATACAGTTGTAAATTTCATTAAAATAAAAAAACAACATAGGAAACATATATAATGGAAGAAGGATATATTATAGATAAATTCTATGAGTTATTCAATAACAGTTCAATTGAAAGAAGATGGAAATAATCTTGAAATAGTATAAAACAGAGATAATAAAAATTAAATAATAATGGAGTATTATGGAATTAAACGTAAAATGTGGGATTAAAGAAAACGAATTAAAATTAAAGAGGTACTATACTGTAATATAGTATATATTAAGGATAATATAGTATAATAATATAATATAGAATAAATTAAGAAGATAGTATAATGAAAAGATAATAAATTTTAAGTAATAATGGAGAATACCTGATCTACGTGAAACGTGAGATTAAAGAAAAAGAAAACTGAAAGTTGAACGGGAATGAGCAAATCTATTTATAAAGCAATTAAGGAGATGGTATAATGTAGAGGTAATATACAACTGTTTTTATTTTTGCTATTTTTTATTTTGACTGATCATCCCAACCCTCCTTCTCTTCAATTATTTTAATTTAAATTTAAATTTAAGATGGCACATCAACTTGGGTTAAAAATTTAGCGACCGAACATAATTACCAAATTTTGACTAAATATCATGACTATTTACTATCCAAGATAAATTTAAAATCAATGTATACTTTTGAGTTATTTCCAAAATGTTTTCTTTTCTTCATTACTTTTTTTGGGGGGAACGTACTAAATATATAAAAATTAAAAGGGCTTTAAGTAGAAGACTATTGGCAAGTTTCATCAAAATCGTTAGGTAGTTTTAGCACTACATTCCATGAAAAAAATTTCTCCTGCTGTACATAAGGTGCCTGATTCAGTGGAAAGGTATAGTGCATCTAAGATAAGTTTGTATGTAGGAGAAGGGAGCTCGTGCAGCGTTTTCCCTCTAAAGCTTTACCTCCCCTCCTCGCCTTAGCAATCACCTCACACCGGGAACGCATTTTTCGATTTTCTTCTAAATTATAATTTCGTAGAAGAAATGAAAAAAAAAAATGGTGAAAGAAATTTCATCTGTTAAAAAAAATTGTAGAAGTATGTACGAATGAGTGAAGACAAAAGAGTGGGTGATCGGCAGGAAAACGTTATGCCACTGAGCACCTCTCTCCCCCTCTACCCACCAGCAAACTTATCTTAGACGGACTCTACCAGGGGCTGAAACACTACAAAATAAAATATATAAGCTAAAATTGAGATAATCATGACACAGATAGATCAATGGCTGAAATGTGTTGTTTTTTTTGGGCTCTTGGTGGTGAGAAACGTAAGAATCTGTTGAAAACTGCTTATCGAAAATTGGCAAATGGTCTTGATAATCCGAACATGTTGAATGGCCTGTTCGGATTATCAAAGTATTTTGATTATAAAAAGTTAAATTAAAAATGATAAAAAAATTGCAAAAGGTAACAGAAATATATATATATATATATATTATCAATTAGACATAAGCACATTAGACACTTAATATGATTCCGATACAACCACACACAGTAATATCTACTGAAAAACTAGAGTCATTTGCGTCTCCTTATCAGTCAACTTTGTAATTGCCCTAAAATTAGTTAGTCTAAAACTGAAACTTATTTTGATACAAAATTTTATCAAACCTCTTGATCCGGAAGAGGGATATATAAACGTTTAACAAGTCTTCTTCGCGCAGCTTCATCCAGCTCTTGGGGTCTGTTTGTTGCACCAATCACAAGAATCCTATCCTCTTCACCTGTACCAGCACCATCCTGAAGTAGTGAAATATTTTAATTTATAATTCAATATTATGTAATATAATAACAGCTGTATATGATTATTTGGCAATATAAGAATACTTAATAAATTGAAAAAAACTTACAAGCTGTACAAGAAATTCAGTTTTGATCCTTCTTGAACTCTCGTGCTCTGTGTCACTTCTCTGACTTAAAAGTGAATCAATTTCATCGATAAAGACGACTGCTGGCTGTTCACACCTTAAATAAAAATTATTTGAAAAAATATTTTAAACAAACAAAAAAAGATTTATTATTTTTTTTAAAGAAGGAATTAATTACCTGGCAACAGCAAATAATGCTCGAACCATTTTTTCTCCGTCACCTATCCATTTAGACGTGAGAGAAGAAGCACTGATGCTGAAAAATGTTGACTTTGACTGAGAAGCAATGCATTTTCCTAACAAGCATAAAAACTTTTGGATACTTAACGCCATGGAAACATACAGAATAAACAAGCAGATAATAGTTACCAATTAATGTTTTCCCTGTCCCTGGCGGCCCAAAGAGAAGTATACCTTTGGGTGGTCTTCTTAAGCCAGTGAATATATCGGGCCTTAACATTGGCCAAACAACTATTTCCTGCATAAAAATAATAATATAAATATTCAAATAATGTGGGATTACTTCAATAATGGTTACATATAGTTCAGTTCTCCATTTTATACACTGACAAGAAAGAAATTTTCTCAAATTTCTAGTAGAAAGAAAAATTTTAATTTTCAGAAAAGTAACATTGAGTAAGATAAATAGAATATTTCAATATACAGTTAACAAATCGTAATGAACTTTTGTTTAAAAGATATAAAAATATGTTTCAAAACTAACTGAATTCTCTCTCTCTCTCTCTCTCTCTCTCTCTCTCTCTCTCTCTATATATATATATATATATATATATATATATATATATATATATATATATATATATTTTTTTTTTTTTTTTCCCATCCCTTCCTCGCCTTTAAGGCTATATGAAATTTTCCTGGGTCAGGGGAGAGGACAGGGATTAATGCTAGAGTTAAAAGCCCCTCTCCTTCCCGACACTGGGACAAAAACATATTATTTTAATCATGCAAACATCGAATTATCAGGTTTTGCACATGCATTAGTCATCTCGGCCACTCTGCCCCCTTTTAATTTTCTATATACAAACAAACAGGGGTAACCCATCCCTCCCAAGGTCCATAGCGCAAGAGCCTATCCCTCCTCACTCTTCCCAAGATATTGTATTGCTCACTTTTTCTTAAAAACAGAGCAAGCTAAAGTAGAATTAGAAAAATTGTAGATCATATACAATTAAACTTGCAGCGGCCTGTTCCATGTTTTCTCCTTCTATCTCAGTTTGAAAATTCATAACACCCATCAAAATTTCCCCTCTCAAAAATTTTGATGATCTTGCGCCATGAAACCCCCTTCTGGGCACCCCTGCATACATAGAATTATTGTAGCAGAGTGGGGGTAACTCAGAAAGTAAAGTACTGGACTCCTATTTCTCGGGCATGTGTTGAATCCCCAGTTAAATAATACTCCCCATGCTTTGAATAATACTCTTCTGAAATTATAATACATGAAATTCAGCAACTAAATGTAATTACATATTTATTTAAACAAAAATTATTATTTTTTTATGAAGTTTCTTCCTTTTTCTTTCAGAGTAATTACCATTACTAAAAAAATAAAAAATAAATAAAAACAGCACCCCAAAATTAAATCCAGGATCCGCTACTGCAGGATTTATATTTAAAGGATAAAGAAAAAAAATAACTCACTTTTTTTTTATTAAACCGAGTTACTGGTAAAATTATTTGCAGAATGAAATACTAAAAAATAAATTCAGTAAACAAAATCCAAGTTTTTTTTTTCATATCCCAACTTTCTGAAAGAATTTAGCTATTTATTTTGAATCCATTCATACCAAAAAATAAATAATTGGCAACTATTTTTTTTCTCTCTTTATTTATTTAGAAGCAATAAACTACGTTAACGTACTTGTATAGTAGTTTTAGCAAATTGCAGTCCTGCAATATCATCCCAACTTATTGATGAGCCGGTATCCATTATCTCATTTTTAATAAGCTCAACCATTCTTGGTTCAATATTCTTTAACCTTTCATCAAGCTCTTGTTCAACGTCATTAACATCACTGCCTCTTGGGTAAAAGTCTTCTTCTCTGAAAATAAAATCAATAAACTTTAATAGTTAATTTTCTACAAGATAAAATTAATAAGGAGGGATTAGCACAATTGGTACTTCATTATTTATAAATTTTTTGTGATCGTAAAATAATAATGTAGTAAAAATGATAACCTATACTCATATACTCACTGGGAATTGTTTTTAACTGGAGGAACAAACTTGGAAGAAACAGTACGTTTTCCACCAAGGAACTTTTTGGTAGGTTGGTATTGATTTCTCTGATTATCATCATAAACAGGTCTCCTTGAATTATCAGGCTGTTTCTTTTGGTTAGATATTTTCTATTTTCATTAAAAAGAAAGAAAATCTCATAAATAACTGATTACAATAATACTTCTATAAAATATGTTGTAAGCCTGGAACTTTTCGTTTTTCTATACAATAAATTGAATCTAGAAATTTTGTATAATTCATATAATTTCATTACCAATTCCTGACCAGCAGTTTTAAAGTGATTTTCAAATGTAACTCTTCTTGCATCGTCAGAATCATCTTCATTTTCTTGTGAAAAACCTCTTAAGGGAGCAGTAAGAGGTTTGCTTTTTCGATAGTAACCTTTACCTCCAGGAAAACGATGATAAATTCCACTTTTTGGTTCTGTTTCTTCGTCGAATCCTGACTTGGATTCTTTGTAACTGGAAAAATTTTTCTTAGGAACAAAGTTACTGCTCATTAGTTCGTGCCTCCTCTTCAATGGCACACTGATTTCCATTCTCTCGGCAGATGTCGATGGTCCATCATGGTATTGGGAGTAAAGTGAAGTCTTTGTTTTAGTTTGAAAATTATCTTTTAACGAAAGACTACTCAGATCAGCTGCTGCTGCAGATTTTTTCATTTGATCACTTTCAAAATATTCTGAAAAATGTAGGTTGATAAATACTAAAAACCTCATAGTAAGTTTCAATATAAAAGTTAAATACTAAAGAAATTAGCATAAAAAGTAATAAAGTGCTAGATAATAATAATAAAAGGCTTATCGAACCCGAAGGTTCAATGCCGACACCACCAACCGCTTATTACACACCTATCTCCACCCTTCAGATAAGTTTTAACGCAATCTTCCCACCTTCCCTTCGGTCTACCATTCGATACAGCAAATATTAACCTTTTAGGAATTCTTTTGATACTAAGTCCATTTGTTTTATTGCAATTTAATCACCTCAATTATATTAACCGGATACAGTTCATGCAATTCGGCTGTATATAACAATCTGAGCTCTCCAGTTAACTTATCCTCCTTCGGTCTGAATATTCTATGCAATACTTTATTTTCAAAAACCTTAACACGTTGCTCATCCCTTGATGTAAGCGGCCACGTTTCCCATCCATAAAGAACTGTAGGTAAGATAATGGTTTTATAGATTCTAGTATTTAGGTTGCGGGACAAGAGGCGCAAGCTAAGTAGTTTTGTCACAGAAACTGTTAGGTAAAACTCATTAATTAGTTCCTATTGGTTTAGTAGAGAATAATAAATGTGTTTTGAATGTCACAAAGAGTAAATTACCTGAAACCAATCTTTTTGGTTGTTTGTTTTCATTTTTATCTCTGGGTGTTCCTCTACCTCCTAGAAAAATTGGAATAGCAGATTCAGGAGGAATGAAATTGCCACAATGGCCACTTTCAGTAGGATTATAACATATTCCTGTCATAGGCTTCCAAGGATTTTTCCATCTTGGATCATCAATAGATAAACCAGATTTCCAACTTTTGCTAACTAAAAATCAAAGAATTGTCGATTTAGGTCGGATGTTTTAAAGTATAATATAAAGTTCACTGAAATACAAACCATTTTTTACATTTGATACAAGGTCTAATGTTGCTTTGGCAAAATTATTAATACCATTTCTATCATCAACAAGTTTAAAGTAAGAATCCAACTGATCATGTAATATGTGACATGAAGTGGCATTGTCAAGGCTGAAAAATTGCATTTAAGTTGAGTGATATATCATCCATATTGTTTAATGGGATAGTTTTTGTATTTCTAAAGTACCTTTGATTTGAATATGCAAGTGACAAAGCTATATTCTTCCTTTTTAAGTTAGCAGTAGCAAATGGGTCCCTAGGATCTTCTTTGAAATGATTCATTTGATAGCTGTATAAAAAATCGTTATCATCTATTTTTGATTCTTCCATTGCAGATAAATATACTTTAAACCAATCACAGAACAGATAGACGACTAAATATTAATGTTTTGTAAACAATTTGTGACTGTCACAATTTTGAGAACTAAGCGCCAAAGACAGGCTCACAAGATCGATATTGCGTATCGATACCGATTATAACTTCTTTTAAAGTATTTTACTAGATAATTTTCTTATAAGTTAATATTGCAGGTAATTTAATCATCGTATTTTTAAAAATTATATGTTTCTAACATGAATAGCCTTTCTTGATTCAGCTTTATCAGATAAATGTAAACGGAATGGTTTTTTTTGGGGGGGGGAGGGGAGAGGTCTATAAGCTTCAATCAAGAGTTTCGATCCTAAAGTACTTCGTTTATTTTTTTTTCGTTTACCGACTGTTAATAATTATTGAATATCCGAATCTTTATTCAGCCAGGCTTTGTAATTTTGTCACTAAGTGAATTAATTAATGAACTAGTAGGCCCGTGCGAAAAATTCGCACAGCATATTGTTTTCAAATGCCAAATTAATAAGAAAATAAAATAATGCAACGTGTCAAAAGATAAAAAAATCAATTGTTACTTTATCGATAAATATAATCGAGAAAGGAAACAAAAATTAATTTAAATCTTCATTAATGTTTGTAAGCAACAAGTTTACAAATTTCAATAAGCTGTATCTTTGCTAAAAATTGTCCGATTTTGATGATTTTTTTTTTCTTTTGCAGAGAATATAGTAATCTTTTATATAATCATGGGCATAACCAAGGAAAAAGTGTGTAATTTTTTAGTTATTCGCAAATAAAGTTTGTTTTCCTGAATTTTCGGGGTTATTGGACTATTTTGCCCGCCTGAAGGAGAAGGAATCCTTCGAAATTGGTGGCTCAATCTTGAGATTTGGTGAAGAATTAATAATGATATAGCTCACCGATCAAAAACACCATCGATAAATAATACAAACTCCTCCTCTCTCGATCATAGAGACCTCAAGTCAACGAAATGAGACATGTATCCAATGACAGTTCTACAATTAATGTAAGGTTGTGTGGATGCGAACCCCATGCCTTGCGTTATCTCGAAAATAGTACGTTTTTGGACTTAAAAACGCGGGATCCGATAGTTCCGAAATAACTATCCAGGTCTTGCTGTACGCATCAAAATCTTCAAAGCCCAATTTGTCCCGTATCGATATAAAGACTTACCACCGTTCCAGTATTGAAGTCTAGCAAAATATTTGTATCGACTTTATTTATTTTAGAAAGAAAAACAAAAGCAGAGAATACGATTCACTAATCCCCCATGAAATTTAGAATCCAACGGTACCCCATTCATGATATTTGAGCATGACAGGAGCTTATATTTGGTACAAAACCGATTTCGAGCCTTACTGTAATAATATATGAGGGGAGTGGGGATTGTAAACGAGTTATTACCACTTATGTACTAGAAGTTTGATTTCATTATGAACAATGTTTTGCGAAATTCGGTGAACCGCTTCATACATTATCACTTTTTTTGGAGTCTCTTATAGCGAAAATGTATTTTGAACGTGTCTGAAGTTCAAAGATATGATATTGGATGAAAAAATCCGAAAATTGTTTGAATAGATCCGGACAACCACAGACACTAACCGCACCAAGAGTAAAGCTCATCTCACACGGTCAATATTATTGAATCAATAATATTGAAGCAATATTATTGAACTTGGTATAAATATTGCAATTGTTACAATATAACCCTCAGACGGTCAATATATTTGATATTGAATCAATAATATTGACAGTGTAAGGGCCCCTTAAGAGGTTTTTAGTACTCGAGAACTTTAAAATATATTTCACTAACATCATAATTAATTTTTAAAGAATGTTAGTAAAAAAATTATATTTACATGTTTATCACCCCAAAATATAATAGCTATAAACTAAAATACCCTGCTATACATTGAAAACTGTTTCGAGAATCGAATTTTGTTAAGATATCGGATCAATTGTGAATATTACAGCATCTTTGACCGAAATTAATATTCCTGATAGGTAATTGACATTATGTAAGAAAGTTATTAAATTTTCTATAAAAAGAATCACCTACTTATCCAAACTTATCGCCATTTTATCTTCAAAAAATAATTCGGAGGAGGGGTTAACCCCCCGCAAAAAAAAAAAAATAATAAAAGTAAAGATCACCCACCTACCGAAATATTTATCCGTTTTATCTTTTAAAAAAAATATCGGAGTGGGGGTTAATCTCCCCTCCTCCCATATTATTGAGTCAATATCGAATTTTGTCAATATATTGACTGTGTAAGGGCTTACATTGGCATCAATTATATTGAGGTCAATGAAACTGGATGATATCAATTTTTTAAAATTTTTATTGAAACTCCTTCAATATTATTGAAACAGTACGTGTAAGGGCTGTATTGAGCAATATTAAACCACATATACGAATCTTGAGAAGCTCTGGGCGATACCAAATTTTCGGTGCCCCTCCTGGCAATATTTTTGGTTTGGAGGGGGGGATGATACTTTTTTTATTATACTTTTATTTCGAGGGGAGGGGAAGGAGTGGGGTTAAACCCCCTCCGATGTTTTTTAAAAAGATAAAATTGATATATATTTCGGTAGGTGGGTGATAAGTTGTTTTACTTTTTTTTTTTAGGGAGAAGGGAGATTTTAACCCTCCCCCCTCCGATATTTTTTTAAAAAGATAAAACGGATATCAGTTCTTTATGAATGCATTAGTGAGAAGGAACATTTTTAATATCGTCTACGAAAGAGAAGTGATAAAACAACATTCGACGAAATAAAAGAATGACAAAAAGACGAATTATATTACAATGATACATTTTAGAAAATTTTATGAAGCGGTGCATGTTTTCAGGATCTTTAAAATGCTTTCTGAAGCCGAAACGTCGGATAAATAATCCAGGATGTAAAAACTGTGTACATTTGGTGACTTTTGGCCTAATATTTTATAAAAACTTTTAAAAAATGTCACCGGACCTAAAAGATATGACTAGAAAACGGATATATATTTCGGTAGGTGGGTGATACTTTGTTTTACTTTTATTATTTTTTTGGAGAGGGGTTAACCCCTCCTTCAAATTACTTTTTATACAAAATTTAATTACATTTTTTTTTCTAAACTTTCTTTTAAATATTAAATAATTAGGAGACAAGAAGAGAATTTGAAACAAGAAATGTTTAAATGTCTAGGAACAAAATAAACATTACAAAGAACACTTTTTTTTTTTAATGCTAATTAAGGTGATATAAAATTCATTATCATTCATTTCTACAAAAAAGAAAGATTACCTCTTTGGAAACGTCCTGGATTACTTCTTTGGAAGCACGATTTTAACTGATATAATATTGATTCAATTTAATTGAGCCGTTTGAGGTACCCCTTCAATATATTGACTTTTATTTTTTGCTTCAATAATATTGGCTCCAAAATATTGACCGTGTAACGGACTCTTGAAACGTTATATTTTATTACAGGGAAACCGATGAATTGTTCAAAGTTATTTATTTAGTACTAATTCAAATTCATACATTTGACTTTTTTTAGTTATCTTTTTAATAAAAATTCAAGCTCTAAATACAAAAAAAAAACTAAACCAATCGTAACAGTATATGGGTGAAGAAATTTGTTCTTTTCCGACAATTTCTTCTGTTATTTCATTAATTTACCTAAGAAATTCTTACTGTATAAGAATTTGCGATAAATATAAAAACTTTAACCGCAAATAAAACAAACAAACCAGTACAACTGGTGAAAATTTTTGAAGAATTCGTTTATTTTCCAAAGATTTACTAACTTCCATTGTTTTATATGATAAAGAATATGGAAGAACCTGAGTAAGTGAAATAAACATAGATTCAGGGACAGTTAATCATAATGTATTTTTTACTAATTAGTAGCTTTCATATCCTCACGATTTACATATTTATCAGCAACCTTTCGACGAAAATTGACCAAGGACAGACGTGTAGCTGTTTAAGCAAGGATTGAGGAAAATTCACGAACTGAAAGTAATGGGGAAAGATTAGGGGCTTTCCCATAATAAAAAATATTCAAATTATAGAAGAGTTAAATCAAGCAAAAGACGTTCAAAAACGTTGAAATTTAAACATCGATGTTACCAATATATCAATATAAAAATCAGGTGAAATGCGCATCACACAACTTTCACTTACTTCCCTTTTGTAAACATAAATATGTATTTTCAGACAAAGGGGAAGTGAAAGTAAAAATTAAAAACGCTATATTGATTTATATTTCATTGTGGCTATTTTTATTTGTTTAGTATCCTTATATATATATATATATATATATATATATATATATATATATATATATATATATATATATATATATAAATTTTGATATTTAATTAAATATTAAATAATACCAACGAAAAACATTTAGGAAAACCGCATATATGTACATAAAAGTGTCGGAGTCCGTATTATATTAAGCTCATGTTACTATGGAAGCCTGATCTAATCTTCGGGCGACTCAGGTTATTACAACTATCCTCAGTTACGATCTCTTATTTCTTCTTTAGTTAATTATCAAATTCTTTCATATTTTATATTTAACTATTTTTTATATTAGAGATCAATGTGAAATGGTCAATTATTTCAAATAGAAAAAATTAAAGGTACTTTAGAGGAAGCTAATATTAAAAATTAGACATTTAAACCCTGTTAGAGAATATAAAATATAATAAAAACTACATAATATTAAAAACTGCTTAATTTTACATTGATATAATGAATTTTAATTAAAATCGTTAAAGCCGTTTTCGAGGAAATAGTAAAAATGTGTTTCATGGATGATATAAAGTACCACTTCTGGTTAGCCGACTTTGACGAAAAAGTTGCTGTAACATCTTAGATATATTAAAAGCTTAAATATGCAATTTCACTTTCATACAACTTTTCGTTTTTGAGCTAAACTTGTCACATACACCCAGACCATTTTGCGGGACTTGGTTATTTGGAC